CCTCCTCCGCTGCCGCCGCCGCCGCCACCACTTTCTCGCTCGCTCGCGCTCCCCGGACGCGGCGGATGAGCCGGCCCCGCTGGGGAAGGGCTCGGGGCGGCGGCGGGCGGCCGGGAGGAGGCTGCGTGCTCGGGGCTGGGGCTGCGAGCGGGGTGATTTTGTATTAAAATGAGGAGGAGGAAGAAGAAGCAGCCACAGCGGCGGCGGCGGCAGCAGCAGCGGCAGCAGCAGCAGCAGGAGCAGCGGCGTAGAGGGCTGCAGCCCGGGCGGACGCGTGGAGCTGAGCTGGGCACGGCGGCGGTGGCGACAGAGGCCGGGATGAGTCAACTAATAATTTAATGGGGACAGAGACGGCTGCGAGGGGGAGAGCGAGCGAGCGAGAGAGAAACAGCCCCGTCCGGGGACTCGCGCACACACGCACGCACACACAAACACACACACACACACACACACCTCTCCCTGTGCCACCCAGCAACAACCGGCCTCCTCACAACAACAACAGCAACAGCCGCCCTGTAGCCTGCCCGGGGACCGAGCTTAAAGCCAGAGCGACTCCTGAGGACGCTTCCCACCCACCCTCTTTTATTTCAGGAAACTCCTGATCAGTTTTGTTGGGGTTTCTGGGTTTCTTTTTTCCCCAAGTCCTAGTGCCATTGTGGTGCTCGTTGTTTACCTCGGACTCTGGCTGAGTGAGAGCTTGGCGACTTTTTGGGGGGAGGGGAGCGGGGAGTTTGTTGCTGCTGAGGCGGTGGAGGTGGCTGGGGGTGCCTTCGGATTCTCTTCCTCCTCCCCCCCACCCCCAAACCCTTCTCTTTCCCTCACTCACTGGGCTCCCCAGACGCACGACAGCCCCGCGTCAATGGGCAGGGAGAGGGTCCTCCGGGCTGTTGTCAGCAAGGGCGGAATCAAAAGTGGCATTTTAGTGCCTTTCTGTTTTTTTTTCCGCGACCCTCTGCCCCCCACCAACGCTGCCCCGCGGTAGATGTCCTCGCTGGGGGTGCGAGACTGTGGGAAGAAAGTTTAACGTTTGTTAATACCAGTCGCAATTGTTAGTGAGGGGGTGGGGGCGTACGGAGGCGGGGAGGCCGAGGTGGCCTTACCCTCCTTGCGTTCTCCGGGGTTATTGGAGAATAATATTGCAAGTGACAGCCAGAAGTAGACTTTCTGTCCTCACACCGGAGAACCTGAGCTAGCAGGAGGGAGGGAGGGAACTGAAAGGATCTCTTCTTCCTTTCTGGAGACCTTGTCCGCAGTGATTTTTGTTTTTCTTTTAAAGGGAATCCTCAGTCACCACTCGCTTCTCCAGCACCACCACAGTGTATAGCTCATAACGGGTTTTGCTTTGTTTTTACGATTTCCCCCCCCAACGAATCACTTGTCAGACCAATTTTATCTTTATCCTCCTCCCTACTTCCCACTCTTCCCCTCCTCCCCCATCGAAAACCCGGTTCTCTGAGGTTAGGCATTTTACAAACCTTGTATGTTATTTTTCGAACTGTGATTTTTTTTTTTTTTTTAATCCCCTTCTTCCATGGCTACTCTTCTAGACATTTATTTCAGCCCTTCCCCCTCTTAGGGGGCGGGGGTAGGGGGAGAGAAAA